ATACATGCTCCAACAGAGATTTATTCAAGCTTTGTCCATATATATTTGGCATATTATCCTGAATATTTCTTTAATTTGTTTAAATGTGATCTGATATTTCCAAAAAATAGAATGGTTAATCAATCACAACTATCTTAGGATAAGATGCAAATGTATACTGGATCATGTAGTTATTATTCATATTAATACAGAGGCAGAAAATTCAAAGAATGAATAACAAGGGATGCTAGTAAGAAATGAAATATAGAGAATGTATTTCTAAAACAATAAGTGAAATTGAGAAATACTACATTTCATTTATCAAAGATTTGGAAAAGATAAAGAAACAAATGCAGCTGCACTACTATAATCGAATTTGATCTATATCAACCAAAATCTTCATCCACAGATTATCACAGTCATGTAGACCGTAACTGGGAGGTTTACATCTTCTGACGAGTCTCACTTGAACAGTAAGTGATTTCAAAGTAGGTGGTACATATTTGCTTGACCAACGTTTGGTCTGCTCCTAAGAGTAACACTTGGTTTGAAATAAAATTCCTTAAACCTCTTGAATAAGACCAACAGTATCATTTGGTTGTCATCGTATTACATGAAGAAAGATTACTAGGATCTAAACTTCTTTGTCTAGATATGGTACCATATTTTCAGATTTTTATTTATTTACATAACTAGATCTTTCTTTTTAATACATCTGCAAATAACAATTTCAGTCTACATATTGGAACTAGTCAATCTAGGCTATCATATCTCTGACGATGTAGCATATAGTCTCTCATTTTCCATTGTTTTAAATTCAAACTCTTTATCGCAAATAATCAATATAGGGTTGTAAAGATCGCCGAGTTTTTATTGAGACTATGAAATGATCATTGATAGACCACCATTGTTAATAGGGGAGCACTAGACTGCCGTCTCGTCCCAGTACAGGACTCTCCAGCAGTGAATATCCACGATCCCGCACTCTAGACACAAACCCAGGACCTTCTTTATCACGTGAATACTTAACCTCCAGACCACTGAGCCCTTATCCAACGGCGCTAATTACGTTAAGGCTCTTGCATGAAATATTGGAAATTTATAATTATAACAACACTCCTACAAATACTTTAGATTATGGTTAATATTTATCAAGCCCTTTTATTAACATACTTAACAGACAAGGTTATTCAGACATTAACAATTCCCCTAATTATCCGCGCTATTATGATCACTATCTTGTCTTTATAAACGTGTATGCTCGATCACATGTGACAGCCACGCACATATCTCTCTTCAGCTTAAATGTGAAGCTGGGTGACACGAGATCAAATCCGCCAGGGAGCACCAGTTCCCTCAAGATTACAGGTACACCTTGCTGACGAGTGCCAAGTAGCACGAAACCCGGGTCCAGGGTTTCCTGTTGACTACCTCCAACCACCATCTAAATCTCAATACATAGTGCCCGCAGTGTCGAGTCACCTAGACTGGTGGCCACATTGCAACATGATCGATAGCATTCGATCTGCACTAATAAGGACTAGACAAACATGACACTGATCACCACCAAGTGATCAATCAATTGTGATTCATAGGTATCTTTAGATTTTTTCTGTCTTAGACCGCCACAACGTAACTTTAAAAAAAATGTAACTCATAACTAATTTTAATAATTCTACTTTCCTGTAAAAAGAGAATTGATTTATACCACGAAAATATTCAGAAACGTGCACTGCTGAAAAACATAGAAACATACTAACGAAACTTAAATTAGATTCTTCATAATATCTATCATCTTTTAAAGCGATCAATTTTAAATCTCAGAAACCTTACTACTTATGAGTAGCACAAAATAGTCGTAAACATTCTCCGTGAGCTTACTGGTATCTTGGATAATCAATTGCGAATTGAGTGAAGTATTTATTGGCCCAATTTAAGACATTAGCAGCCTAGTATGAAATGTTTGTCATAATTTGAACTGACTGTTGATTCATACAATAGGATGACAAACTTTCTCTACTAGATATTGTATAGTCTTCACTATTCATCTTAGTCAAAAATGACTTGCAGGAATTCCATATTCACACTATCATTCTTTTGAAGCCATTTTATCATTAAGTCCCATAGGATAGAAACTAATGCACGAATCCGTAATTTTTGAAGTCAAACCACAGTATTATGTTTGGCTGTGCTTGTATTTGAATTAATAAAGGGAACTAATAACATAAAATGCTCTTGTATTCTTATGTGTACATACAATATGACGTTTTATTATGCCAAGTATTGTTGATAGTGGCCAACTGAACATAATTTGTTGAAAAGAGGATCATTCCATGGATATTGCGTAGAAGATTTTGTCAACAAGTGGGTTTTCACTTGTTTACTTACATAGTTTCTGGTGAGTGATATTCATCCAGATGAGTTTTACGTACATCTCATAGTCTAAATACATTGTATGTCGTTTCTTATAAACTCCCTGATGACTAACGTTGTTTATTGTCAGACTCGAACCTAATCCATCTCAATCTGTAGAATAGGGATGATTTTCCCCTCGTACCCCAGTTGGATTGTTTGATTCCTTTCATAACTCAGGTTTCAACAAAAACTAAATAATAATAGGGTGCTGCGGAAATTGTTTAATTTAAACCTTCTAACCATAATCAATCATCAGTTTGAAAAATCAAATTGAATAATCCTTACAACATCCTATAACAACAATCATCATGTATATACTAATAACTAACTTCATTTGCTATGTACGATTCTATATTACATATTAAGTTATGGTTAGAAAATGGTTTAAAAATTGAGCAGATTTCAACAGATAACTCATCAATAAGATAACTTAATTTTTAATAGTTCCGAAGTAAATTGCACAATTCATAAAGTATTTGCGAATTATTACCCTCCATATCTGTAAAACTAGATTTTCGCTAGTAGTTCAGTATTTGTAGACTGCTTAATGACAAACTTAATTTTCGTCATATTTATATAGTAGTAAACAGTAGGAATACTTTGTAGCATCTATGTAATCTCATGGAAGGATATTCAGCCTATAAAAATACATTTTTTAGATGTGAAGTTTGTTATCACTGTCCCACTTATATCCATCCGCCTCTTACGATACTTACTTACCTACTTAGGCCTGTTACTAATATTGAAACATAGAACACAGACAAAAGATCGACAAGTAAATATGTCCTGGGATCCTTTCTCCAACTGTTGCCAAGTGCGATCAATGATCTTGATGTTCGACTCCAATTGTCGACACTACACGTTTAGTTGGTCTGCCTCTTACTTTTTGTCTTGAAGTCTACCGATTAGGACTTACCTTGTGATACAGTTTAATGGTTTCCGTAAACTGTGTCCAATCCACCTCAATCATCTTTTCCCAATTCCCTCCTTATCCGGTACTTCATTTGTTATCTGGTCTCTGGTCAAACGGATCTAGAGTATTTTCAACAGACAACTATTTATAAATACCTGTACTCTATTTCAGAAGCTTGGGGTAGTTCTCCAATTCTCAGCTCAGTACGGTAGAACTGTTTTGACGTTTCAAATGTTGGAAATTGACTTGGATCATGCATGATAGTACTTCAGAGTTTTAGACACTGGCCAACTACATGAAACTCTCCCTTGCTTTGACAATTCGTCTCTTCACATCTGTATCAGATCCTCCTTGTTTATCAACGATGGTGTCCAGTTAGATGAGGCCCCAAAGTGTCCCAGAGCACCACGTGTGACTTTGGTGGTGCTCGCTATGTTGTGCTTCAGAATCTCGCTTTTTACCTTATGAATGTTGAGGTATATATATATAATTGTTATTCATACTTAGACAAACGTATAGGCCGAAATCTTCAATAGGTACATAGTCGACTCCCTTCAATAGCCCACCTTATTAAGGTGCCAAATCAGTGGTATAAGTACACTACACTCGCCTAATGACTCTAGTTTCAGTTCCTCATATAGTCTTGTGTGCTTACTCTGGAAGAATTTTATGCCAAAATGTAACAGATATCTGTCATTCTCGGATTTTCAATAATTATCATTTCAAGATTATTCACTGGTTCAAACTATCTCCAAACATCTCGAAATTATACGTCATCAGTTAATTTGTAAAGATTTGTATTTTCCAACTATTGGTATTAATGACAGTAACTGATCAGCCTCTATTGGCATATGTACATCTCGAGAGTATTACTACGACGCTACCATTTAGTGGCATATTTTAATAAAGGTGGATTGTGGCTAGCAGTAGAACCTAGTATGTTCTTTCCATCATCTTTGGGACTTGTCAGTTAGACTTTCGAGGTGATAGGTACTGGTTTCAAACCTCAGAGTAAACATCAAGACTGGGATGAATGAACATTCAAATGGTAAGTCTCAAATATGACAAATCACCAGTCCTAAGTTCTATTGATGACTACAATTCAAGTTGACAACTATCAATCGTTTGTCAATTTTAAAAGCAATTTTCATTCTAAATCGATACCATTTAAGTAACTACAGAAAAATTATGGTTTGTTTCTAGAATTATTGAAAACTGGATTACTGAGGTCATATAATGATTAAACTACAAGTTGAGAGCACTTTAAGTGTTGTTAACTACATTAAGGATTATTTTTAAGATTTGCATCGTTAAGACTCCTCAGCTGGATGTATCAAGCACTTACTAATGATGTAAAAGCCAACATATTCACTAAATCTTATTCTTCATGTATTACTCATGGTAGTTACATATAAAATTAATTACTTTATTAATTTAGATCTGAACTGTATTTATATTGAAAACAAAAGTAACATTATTAGTCACTGTGATACCATTACAATTGATTGATAATTTGTCCATTGTTGTAAATTATATTGTCAACTAAATCAAGATACGATTATATATTCTTCATGTCTATGCTATTGATAATCCTATAAATCTAATCTAAAAAAATAAAGAAATAACGAATGAACATCAACTGACCTTGAGATAAAAGTCTGTCATATGATACCAATGTTTTTTAGTATTTCTTAATATACCACAACGACTAATAAAAATATGAGTGTAACCTTCAAAATCCATTGATCAGAGTGAAAATATGGAAATGTTAATTTTATAGAATGAATTTACTTGGTGACGAGATATTTCTAGGTCAATTGGTTGACCAAGTTGAACAAATGATATGATAGGTAGTGTCGTGTGGAAAAATCCAATTGCTTTAAAGGAAGCTAAACAGTGCGTTTAATGTGTCAAAAATAAGTATCAAGATGAATCTTAATGGATAAATTAGGTAAAGAATAGTATAAGAACAAGATGATCAGAATCTACAAGCAACTTTTAGGTTTTTGCGTAAAATTTAGATATCACAATACTGTCTTATGCGAGCACTCATTGTTGTAGTTATCGAATTGGCCTGAATCTTATGTTCATACTATTGCTTACATTAGTTGCTTCCAACAGTCTCGACAAGTTTGATGTTAATTTACTTCACATTTCTACCTATTTATATAAAAACATTTTGATAAATCAACTTGTACTGACTGTATGGAATGTAGTGTGGTAAAACACGACCTGCTTTATATACACTTTACCTTATCACTTAAGATTGTCTAAATTTAGCAAAGAAAATAATTTCTGCTCGGTGTGAGAATAAGTCTGATGAGATCTGAATTTGTGTATCTAGCCTCCCTCGTTCTATTACCAACCAAATTGACGTCACCAACACCAAAATTATTAGGACTCAAGATAAGGCAATCACTAACACAAAACTCCCAGAGTTGTGAGACAGTAGTCACTCAGGATTTTAATGTGTGCAACTAGGTTCTAGGAAGAAACTATCTATGGGTTCGGTTTCACAGGGTGATCACCTCAATTATGACGTAGCATCACCTTATGATCCACCCTCATGCAATCTGGCACATAAGAATATAAAATGTTTTTACGACCGTTAATAAAGATCACTATGTAACCATACAGATCGATAGATTATCGAGTCACAAATAACCCTGATAATTCAATAACAGTTCACCACATCCAGATAAGTTCTTCCGTGATGAAAGGTACACGAAATCTGTGAATACGAAGGATATTTATGCTTGATGTCTAAAGAATCTTGATCAGTAGTGAGTCTTACCAACCTAAAGAATTGATCAAAGATTTTGGAAAATATTCGTTCTATTGAATACTTGAACAATTTACAAAGTGGCATAAGTGACACAGGTTTCCTAACAGTGAAAAGCGATAGAGCTGGATATGTTGGTTTCCTATGGGAAGTACATGATGTGAAGTATTACCATCTCCACTTATTTATTTGAAAACATTGGTACAAAGGGGCACTGAATACATATGCGCCACACAAGTCACTTCATTTGTGTGTGGGCTGTGATACTGCCCGGGTGCACAGACCGAAGCAGGTGGTTTTCCTAGGGGGTCACATTCAGAGACTTTGGCCCTAAATTCTGATCCACAAGGCAGTAGAGCAACGTAGGGAGATGCAGTCCTACGGTAGCCGGTGACCAAGGATTGGTTCATACGCCATTTGTTCCCTCAGGATACCGGAACCCATGTGCACCATTGTTTTGGAATCAGAATTTTTCAACTACTCTAGGTGGATCCTCCATATCCACCAACCTGGTTAAGGCGCCTGACATTCGCTTTTCGTCCTCAATTTTGTAAACAATAGTAATGCCGCGAGAAGGCAGTGAGTAGGACCTTCCTGGCAGTAACCGTATATGTGTGGCCATGTGAGCATTTTGAGAGGGAGAGCGGACTCTCCCCACCCTTGGTCATACCAGGGCGTTTGGGGGCTAGCCAATTCTTGAGATAATGCAACACGAGGCCGACCCGTGGACGGGGTTGAGCAAGCTCACAGCACCCGTCCGCAGGTGAGAAATACAGGTAATTTGATTGGTCTCAGTTTAGAGACCGTTGCAGAAATTACCACACATGATTTTAGCTTAGAGAGCCGAGATTGTCGTTTGTTTTATTTTCTGTAGCAGAAAAGTACCTCTCCAAGCTATACTTTTAATACCTCGTTTTTATTCACCTATCCCTTCAGTTTTCATTTCGACATAAATGCCAGGATAAGAATTAACCAGTACCTTACCTAAATGCTTTTACCATCAAATACTTTTTTACAGGAGTAAACATTACTAACTTATATTGTATTAAAGTGTAAAGTCAACTGATGACAACTAGTAGTGGATTTAATGAAAACAATAGAATTATAAATACAGATCTTTTATATGAAAAGAAATGCATACATGTATTTAGATAGTGTAGTAAGCTGGAAGAAAAACTAGCGTAAAAGACATGTGGAATTCTATACAGAGCTTTACGGTCATTACGACAAACTTATGAAGTGGATTATTTAAAGCGTTTCTGGTAGCGATTAAAACAGCTTAAGTTAAACTACTGAATTACAATAACATAAAGTTTGATTCGTAATTTTTTTTTAAATATAGTATCATTTAGAAAATGAACCTTATCGAGAAACTGATATATGGATGTTTTGGCCAAATAATAATAACGCCAGTCCAAGGATGAAAATGAATTTGATATTAACAAAGAAAAAATCCAATGAAGCAGCTTTAGGGTCAGTATATTGTATTTGTGAGGGTAGATAACAGGAATCAAGCACTTAGCCAACTGATGATGGAAGAATAAATCGTAGGAACAATAGTGTAACAAAAGCTAATATATACAATGTGAAAAGCTTCAAAAGTTAAAACGAAAGACTGTACATGCTGTGAATAACCTGACGTTAGTGTGAATTTATTGAATGCTGAACTTTGTGAAGGGTCTATAAAGAGAAAAATAAAAGACGCGATGATGGATGTCCAAAAGCTATAAAGATTAAATTCTTCACAAATATTACAGTTACCGACATTGCAATCGATGTCACCATCTTGAAACACCGACTTCCGTGGCCTGGACATGTTCTACGAATGTCGTCCCAGAGAATTCCACGTCGTGCATTATTTGCCGACTCTGGGACTGGTTGGAAGAAGCGGAGAGGTGGTCAGTGCATGACATGGTGTCGTGGCATGGAAGAAAGCTGCAAAGAACTGGCTTCTGTCGTTCCTTCACGACTCCCTGGTTGGGGTCCGATAGATGGTGCTACACAGTGGCTAGAGACGTTATTAGATATGGCTCAGAATAGAAGCCAGTGGCGATCCTGCTGTAACCTTTTACTTTCTTCATAAAGTGGTTGTGTCTCCCTTAATCGAAAGATTTCTTCTGATTGTACCTTTCCGTTCCCTCATTATTACTATTATTATTACTACACTACGTTACACCAACCTCTTCGTTATTGTTCTTTTTTTCACGCTCCTTACCTTTTTTTCTTTCTCTTCGAATTCTCATTGTTTTGTGTGGCGCATCTATACTGGCGCTCTCTTGTACCAATATTTATGTGTTCAAATAAATAAATATACCGATATTGCTGAATAAGGTATCCCCCTAAACCTACTTGGTTTGAATGTTTAGTAACATAATTAGAAGCACTATCATTAAAACGGTAAGGTTGAGTTAAAGTCCATGAAGACAAGTCGCCCTAAGTTATGGTTCATAAATTAGAATTTATGAATCAATGGTGAATAGTTTGTAGAGACTGTTGACACCGAATACTGAATAACGAATGTGACACCTCACCACTTAAACTGGAACCACGAATATGCAACTATCTTTCCATATACAAGATTTCTACCTGTCCTGATCTCAATCCCACGTATTTTGTTTGGCCACGCGAAAATGACATACGATACTGCATAACTATGTACTACTACTTCAACAGTGAGAGGAAATTAATGGCCACGTCAATCAATAAACAGTCCCTGATATTTATATTTCCATTACAACAATAATTTCAAAGTACTGAATACGATATCAATAAAAAAGAAAAGATAAACATGAAGTATAGATTACACTGAAATCTTTATAAAACTTCCAGAAATTGATTTATTCCATGCATCAGTTTTCGACTGGTCAGTAACTCTTGTCAACGTTGATATTAATCTAATCATAGGATCAATTTACGATTTTTTATTTATAGGGAAATGCAGGTTTTTGGAGAAGAGTCTCTAGATGATAGAAACTAGTGATCCAAGATTATAAGTGGACTACATCAAATACGACAGACACATTCACTCGTTGTATTTTGCACAAGTAATCGTTTTTATTCAGCCGTGGATGATAAGTTAGCAGCTATCAGTTATTTCTCGACAATCTTTTTATTTGATGACCATAGATTGCAGTCAACTGTCCACAACTAGTGTCAGAAGTTATTGCAACAACACAACCAGTTATAGTTGTAAAACTATTAAAAAATGAAAACAATGTATAAAGTATAAGGTATTAGCCGAATTATGAGAACAAGTATCAATCACTTACTTTAGTGAGGCTATTGGCACACGACAACCGAATGCGACCACCGGTATAGAGTTATCTACGTGAAATTGATGTCCTTGGGAAAAAGTAAATAACAAAGATTGATAGGGTGGAAACATTGGGTTGATAAACAAGGAACAAATTTTCAAAATATGGTCTGAAGATGTATAGAATGATTTTGAGTAACCAGTAAATCAAAACAAACCTAAAAATAATCATAAAGTGTCTTTTTATAAATGTTGTTATTGTAGTAGTGGTAAGTAAACAATGTAGAAATATGTTGACTGTGATTCATATTATGCTGTTGCATTGAAGTCAGGTGATCTATTTAGGGAAAGTAAATTAATTGGTGAAAATGTGGATTGAGTTACGTTAGTCGGACTAGAGTGGGAGAATCAGAGCAGTTTAATGTAACTCAAGTATTATCGTCCTACTGAACACTGAGTGGATACATAATCTTGATTTACTAAGCAGGTGAATTATTAAGTCATATAATGTTGCAGCATAAATATGGGATTTTAAGTGAGCATAGACTCTTATTTTTATTAACTTTCTGCATACAATTTGATATGGGTAATAATCTATGACAATATCAACTGAGAATCACGCGGCTTTCATCAAGGATATCGGCCTTAACGGACTAAATGAACTGAATAATATCTGAAAATTCACAACTTAAACACGAAGATAAAATACTTAATGACCCATAAAGCAGTTTATAAATTCTATTGGATCGAAACGAGTTCTTTTTAAGCTTTAATGATGCTAAAATATGGATCGAAAAAGGAAGAATTAAAAAATGTTTCCAAAAAAATGTTCTAACCTTGCTTGAGTGCGTAGCTTAGTTGAGTCGGCATCCGACTAGCTGGTCTATACTTCAGAAGTGGATCCAAACGACCAGGTTGTCTCTTATGCTAATCAAGGGAATGGATATAAAAAAGCTTCATAAAATAAGGTTGTGAAATTGGTGGACGACGAAAGCAATCTACTTCACATACAAACAGTGCAAAAACTGAACGAATATTACAAGCAGTTTAAATTCTCCTAAACTAGTAAGTCGCTTCTTAACGGAGTTTATAGCTGGGATTTGTTGGGGATGTTAGATCCCCAGAACTCACTTGGTAAATCCCTTAATTTTGTAATTTTATTTTAGAAATTTAAATTTCTTTGTTTTCGCGCCAAAAGCGCTCTTTTTCACCTTCATGTCGTATTTCCCACTTTGGAGAATCTTCAACGCTATTGGTCCGTTGTGCATTTTTAGTATGCCATTTTTGTTACGCTTCCCAAGGAGTTTTATGCTGTATATATACGTTTGATTTGTATCTGTTATTATTCACTCGTGCTTCTGGTTTACGGAATATACTTTTCAGTTCCAAGCTTGGACTTCTTCCTCTAGTTAGCGGGGCTGGGACACATCAAATAGCTAGCTGGTCTACGGTCACAAGTCTTTGTTCCGTTCGCATACTAAGTGAAGTCGTAATAGCTTCAAACCTACCAGGATTGAACTAGTTTTGGTTAATCTAAGCGTTGAAATAGGAATGTTAACGATGAACGGTTATCCTCAGTTCGTTCTAACACTTGGACTGAGTAAATTTTGACAGAAACCATCTGTAGAATATGTAAAAATTAGACTTATACTTGTTTTCTCGTTAGAAACGAAACACTAAGGTAACCAGCGAAATACGAAAACAAAATTGGCTACCTAACTGGGTGATATGGTGGAGTCTAACAATTAGGCCCTTATCTGTTGGAGAATGAGCGACCTACAAAACTAATTCTGTCCAATAATTGAAAACATCTGGTCCCGTTATTTTTGTATGAACATGTTATCTCAATATATAAAAACCTATTCTTTTAGCTAGTAGTTGTACCTTCGGTCTCAGCGGCTTACGTCAATAATTTATTTCATGAGCAGTCACTATCCAACTACATCGTATTAATGAATATAACCCATCGACAAAAGTTCTGCTCTTTTATTTTAAATAATCGGAAATTCGTTCGTAAATCATAAATCTATACTTCAAAAAGCTAAGCAATTACAGCACACCACTAACCAAGATTTAAAAATACAGCTGTGAAATGTAGTAAATTGATTCTCCGTGTACATGTGGCAAGTAGTTAACATAGGATTAAACATGTAGTTACTAGACATGTTACACTACCGAATGGTTGAAACCCGAACTATCATATACGAAAATATTAACATACTGATAATTTAGATTTTTTTAGTAACTCTTGGATAACTCAGTGTAAAGCGCTCCTCCCTTACCCAACTGGCTTGATCCCTTTCTTCCAAACGTTGCTTTAGTTCTTGTTCTGCAGTACGTTGGCGAGATAAGCGCTCGTGACGAACTTCCTCAATTTCCAAACGCGAATGGCGAGCAAGGAATGCTGGGTCTGATATGTTTTCATCCAAAACGCCAACTGATTTGATAGGTTCTCCAACTTGGTAATGCTCTTTTTGTGTCTGGGAAGATCTAGACCTGGGTTTTGACTTAAGTTCTGGAGTTGGATAATTTTTATTTGAATGGACAGAGTTAATAGTCAGTAAGCTGGATCGTAAGGCGCGGAGATTACATGATTTAAGAGTATCCGTATCTGTTAGTTTTCGTCTGTCTGGGTGTTTTTTGGGACATGATTTGGAATGTTTTGTCCCACAAGAACAATCCATATAGATCTCGACACCTGGGATAGGTATAACACGCCAGCTAGGAACTAAACAAAGAAATGTAAGAAATGAGGCTTGTATGGGGAAAACTCGCAATAATAAATTATGGGGACAAAACTGAATACTTAGTCGACAAATAATTTTAGCTACAAATTATTTCTGAAACGCATATTGTCGAGCTCTTCTGTATATGAATCTTCTTTTATCACAAGATGCTGTGGAGAAGCGGTTTGCTTGGTGTGTATTGTAAAAGAACATTAGTTAAAGAATGAGGGTCATATAAACAATATACATAAAAACAGCAGTAATTTATAACGATACTGACTACAATACTTAACATTTTGGAAAGTCATAGATTAATGGCTTAGTGACAAAATCACTTGACAATAAACCAGTAGATCGCAAGTTTGGTCATCACCCCATCTATTCTAGCTTCGGCATCCCAGTAACGTGGAAAACATGCAGTTTAAAACCAAATGAACTTACAATTAACTAGTTACATGAGTAAAAATCTTCAGTTTTGAAAAGGTCACCATGATTATAGGAGTGGTAGAATGGACTTCTGTAACTTTTAGAAAATTTGAACAGGTAGGTTCCTAGCATCGGTAGTAGTGTAAAAGTTTTGTCATGACTTGCTTGATGGGTAATAATGTAAAATAACATTGAGATTGTTTTTCGTTACCATATTTCAGCAGCTTGAAAGCTATTAATTGAAATTCTGATGTACTCTTATTTCATTAGATGAGTCTATCAAAAGCATCAAAACCTTCGATTTCCGTTTTTCTTTTAGTTCACATAAAAAATTAACAAAACCTAATGACAGCTATATATATTCCCTAACGCCGTCGTTGGAGCCTACAAACTTAGCTGGTTAGTTTCGTACTTTTGCCAATCAAATACCACTTGTACATGACTTTTTTAGCCCTCAAATTGAAGAGATAACCTTATATGATAATACTTTTAAATAAAATTGTGGTCGGAAATTGACGAGATAACAGCAAAAATATAACTTACCCTCAATAAGAACAGCTGAATTGGACATCTTTGGTATACCTCTCGGCTCTATCACATGAACTTGGACAGTTTCTGGACTTCGGAGATGACGGTTAGTAAAATCTGGTACATAATAATATGACTGAGTAGTGAGATAGGCAGGCTTTTGATCATTACACGAAGGCTCAGTAGTTTGTGCATTAAGTTGTAAAAATTGAGTTGGTTTTCGTGTACGAGGTTTAGTGGAAATTTCGGGATCTGGTAATCCATGAATCGAAGGTTCAATGAGCTGATCAATAGATTTCCGACGCTTTGGTGGTTCCTTGTATACAATCACAACTTTATCTTTGTTTTTCAACTTCACATCACATTTGTTATCGTCCGAATTACCATATCTTTTAGATACTGAAGATACAGGAGACAATCTGCTGGTATTACGTGAGCGATTCACGTATCGAACATCCTTAAGATTCTGTCCACTAAGATGGCCAGTTATTTTATTTAAATGGAGGGAGTCCTTTGCACAAATAGAAGTAGCGGGTGTTTCCTCTTCAATCACAAAATGATTCTCATCTAATAATGAATCCGTACTACGTGTAGAAATACGTGTCTGGCACTCTGTGGGATTAGTTCTAACGACGGGAGTAACTTGGGATCGATACTGGCAAACTGGGTGCGGGGAGTTTTGGAGGCACAGATATTTCGGATGAGAAATTACTGGGGTTTCGCTAGAGTTCGGGGTGCGTAAAGAATATGAAACATTTGATACAGAAAAGTTGGGGGAATTGATTGAAGTAGGAGATGGAAAAATCGGTGGATTTGATGGGGTTACCCCAGGAGATAAAGTTGAATAATTTATGCTTGAGTTCTCATAATTAGGTTTAAAGTTTACATCCACGGGATTTACGATCTTATCAGTTAATTTCGTAACACGGCGGGCTAAAAAAAGCATAGAAAATGCAATTACTATAAGAATGCTACGGTTTACATAAAATGTCAGACTATTTGATCAGGATTTGTATGGATATACTAAAATATTGCCAGATCGTAAAGTTGATGAGACTTACAATTCATAGTGTTCTGCGTGAAAAATTCGAGAATCAGGTTTTATTTATCACAACTCATGAAAAGTGGGGTCGAAATTAATATTCACATTAATCGAATCCAAAATATAACATCGTACTAATTTACTTAAAAGGATAGTTGATTTCCGATACAACATAACGTTTGAACGAGATAGAGACCGTAATTAATGATTCTAGTTTCTTAAATAGTCTATTACACCTGATAGTCCAGATACAACTTTTGTGGAGGATGAATAAACATATTGTAAGTGTCTGAACAGTTCCGTATACCCCCAATTTAGAAACTAATCGTGATGGTAAAAAAGGGCGTTTAAAATGAAATATCCTGCAAAAGAAACAGAACCAGATACTTTAGGCGTGAAGTAGTACAATAATGAAGGATTTTCATCCTAACAAACGTTACATCAAAAATTACCTCAATTAATCATATGAGGTTGTTAGACAGACATTAATTTCGTTAAGGCTTGAGCAACATATAAAATCCACGTCTTCCATTTACTTATTTCAAATCACTCCCAACCATGTTTGTTTTTGTTTTATATATTTTGTACGCAACCATGTCATTTAACTAGCGGGAATCTATTCTTTGAGCAGATGTGTTGTCTTTTCGTTACATTTCACCCGTAGACTAACGTCAATAATTCGATGTGGCAAGTACATAACAGTGGAACAAATTGCGTAGCTGTGTATCACTTGTTGATCAGCGTTTTAATTATCATTTTAACCCAAAACAAGTCTTCAAAACTCGTATTCAACACTCACTGACGTATTATCAAGTTTTTCTTTGTAATGAATAATTATGATCACATAAAGAATGAGGCAACTAAGAGACTACGCTAAAATAGTGGAAGTGGTTTATAATAGCAAATAAGACTTACAACGTTTGGCAGTTTTCAGGTCCGTGTTAGAAAAGTAAGGTGATGGTCTCTTCTGGCCCATACTGTCGTGACTACGTCGTATTTCTTCAGATTTGGTTTTACGAAACAGAAATGGCTGGGCTTTCTACTGAAATGGCTGAGGAACAGATAAAACTTACAAACTTTATAGATTGCAGAAGGGAAGTTTGTGGACTTATTTCATTTAAAGCATTTTCCATTGGATGTAGGTGGAGTCGTTTTAAAAGACCAAACATTGGCTGAACAGCTGTAACCATGTTAGGCTTATCTGAAAGACAAAGATAACACTTTTACTACTGAATCCACTCTTTTAATCTTCATCACATAATTAAAAGATAACTGAAAAAATAGTCGGTATTGTTACCCTTCGAATATCACATTTGTTTATTTATTTTAACACATAGATATTGGTACACGGAGGCACCAAATACATATGCGCCACACAAATCTCATTCGATATGTGTGAAGGCTGTGATACCCGGGTGCCCAAACCGAAGCAGGTGGTTTTCTTAGAGGGCCACACCCCGAGCCTTCGACCTGAAGGTCTGATCCATAAGACAGTGGAGCATCGTGAGGAGATGCAGTCCCATGGAAGCCGGTGACCAACCTTAGGTTCATATGCCATTTGAATATTCGAATATCATAACAGATTTAAGTAGTCCCGGATGTATCAAATCACAAAACTTGTCCTCGGTTTTAAATAAATGTACTATTACGACTTTGTGGATGTCAATAATTCGTCTTTAAACTAGCAATTTGAACAAATGTTTACCAGCCGTTTGAGTAAGGTTAGATCACACGTTCCATATTAAAGCCAATGGTTTGAACCAAGCATTTTTATAGCGCCGTATTCTAGATGTGTCTATCTCCTTTACTTCAAAAAACCCACATAACGCCGCACATCAGTTTGTAGGCCGCAAGAGACGAAATGAATAATCCTAGTGCGTTTTCAGACACAGAATTTCTTTGGACTAATTTTGTCGCAGTCACAGTTATCTGTATGACCTCAAAAGATAGCTATTAAACAGACGGTGCCACTGACCATTATTCTATATTGGTACGTGTAGTGTCATTAACAGGGTGACTAGAAATTCGCTGTTGGGTTGCGTATGTATTCACTCTATACTATAATTTAGAGTGATTCTCAACGTCAAGTCATTTTCCTTACTTTGCAAGCTTATTTTTCGGACCACGTCCTTTATCTTTAGTCTTTTCGCTATCATTAATACTACTATCATTTCAACTCCTTTACCAAGAATCACGTTAATCTTATAATGTAAGGCGAAATCAACAAGGTTCTTGGTAAATAGGTTAGGACGATAGTAGTATCAATGATAGCAAAAAGACTAAAGATAAAGGACGCGGTCCGTAAAGGAAGGATAAATTTGCAACATAAGTAATATGAATTGACGTTGGGAATCAAAGTCTAAATTATGGTAGAGTGAATATATATACAATCATGTGGCAAATGAAGGTGCAGATTTGCTGCACGTTTTACGTCAAACATGAACGATTGGATGGGATACATCGCCCTATAATCCCCACTGTAGAGAATGTATTTACTTCTATTTATTTCACGTAAAATTAGTACAATTGGGTGCCAAGAAGTAGTGTGATTCACACTAAGCTATTGGAATTTACATTTAAGATGGTGAGACCAATACAGATCAAATTAGTGATACAGCCACATCGAAATTATTTGGAGACATTTAGGGTGGTTAGGTTTGGTTAACTAGACTTCAGTGTGAACAATAAACCGTTTAAGAATGCATCAAGTTCATGGATGCTAATGATTGTAAGACTGTGGTACCGGCGAGACTACAATTTATGGACGAACGAATCAGACTTACGATAATAGATTTTGCATTTTGGCGCGAAATTCATTCACCCATTTGGCTAAATGGAATCCTGGTATTATAGCTGATGTCAGTTAGTGATGAAAACCTTAAATCTAATTCCTGACCCCAATCACCAACTATAAATCATAATCCTTATTCTTGAAACTGCTTTATAACCCTCACTTAGCCCTAGTAAGTAGGCAGACACTCACAAGGTCACCTTAGCGTCGCTCAAGGGTCGTCCATAAATTAGTCTCACCGTGGTACCATTTAACAATGACTGCCAAACAAGAGGTCAAATCCAAGCAAACCACTGAAAAATGCAGTTCTCTGGTGGCACAATAACCACCTGATATATAAGGTGACCAGTCTTTGTAGGAATAAGTGATGTTATGTTTGTATTTCATGACTAAAATGTTAGTGAACGGATTCAAAGCTAATAAATGAAGCTGTCCAGTTGCTAGTTTTTGACTAATGTTCGGAAACATCCCCAGTTAGACTCAAGAGGTGAATAAATACACTCAGACAGACCACCGAGTGCCCGAAAAAAAATGTGTCCCCAAATCCAACTACTTCAGCATACATAATCCTTCAGATACTTCTAAGTATTTAGATTCGACAACAGGAACTACTGTTAGTCAGATGTCTACTTGCATCTCGGCTAGTAATTAATAATATTATTGGCAAAAACTGAGACATTTATGGAAATCGAAGCACCTACTAAAGGTAACTGACTATAGATTGTCGTCCTAACTCAATTTACAGAGGACATATCACCTGTTTTACATAAATGTTCTGAATACATATATAGTTCTGCGGATACCAGAGAGAGAAAAAACAGTTAATTCACGAAATACTTAGCAAGTCCCAAAATCAAAAGGGTAATAACAGGAAACGCAATGCGTCAGGACGTTGGATGAGCTCAGTGATTTTCCTACACTTCAGCACGCATTTGAAGTTTTGCGACAAAACAGAAATTTTGCAGCAGAATTCAGTTTCGTAAGATAACTTCATAATAAAAGTTGTAACACGATGCGAAAACCCACCGAACAATCATACAGAGAATCACAAGAACAGATAACACACAAATCTTCGCGCCTTAAGTCACTAGGCAGTACAAACAAACACGCGCTGGGCACCACCAAAATCCAATATATTCTTTACTAGCTTATGAAAATCAAGTGATTCTTCTGTCTTCGCCTCTTGTTGTTTTTGTGCGCTTTTAGGCCTTTTGCAGTGTTCAGTGAGTGACAGTCTAGCCACTCGACTTTACTATTTCCACTCAGTTTGGTATCTAGTTTATTATTATTATTATTAATGGCTTGGATTTGTACATCTTCTAATGATAGTGAGTGGGTTTTTCTCAGATCACTTGAGGTTTCTTGAACCAGGAAATGTCACATTACCAGACAGCAGGTTAGATGATTGCAATGTGAGAAATAATATGACGAAAACTCCGATGCTAAAAGTGAACAACCGCTTCAAGGAGTAAGTAAATAAACAGGTTAGTAAATTAGCAATGGAAACATCGTGAGCAAACCATAGTGTAGGAAGAAAAGGGGAGACAGAGTTGACAGTGAGTGAGGTAGAAATAAATTAATGACATTTGATAGCGATAGTAGTAGATAAATTACGAGACATGCATCCAGCACAGCTAGTCAAAGTGATAGATGGTAATCTATGGGTGAGCGTGTGTTCGTCAAGTCTCTTCTTGTAGGTATGCGCTGAGGAGGCTGCGATCATTTCGGTTGTGAGAACACTCCGAATGGGAGAGACTCTAAGTGAGAAAAAATGAGAGTGTGACCGAGCTTTCTCTCCTTGATGTGCAGTTTTCCGGTGGTTGGTTTGCTAAGCATGCTCATAATGTTCTGGTGGGATGCACGTGTTGGGGCGACTTGGCATACTCATATGTTGTGCATCATTATCAGATCACCACACACTCTCTTATAGCTCAGCGAGAATAATTCCAAGTGTCGTAGTCTGTCTATGTAAGATTATTCTTTGACCTGTTTGGTTGTCGGTCTTTATACTTGGTTTGTGACACATGTCTCGTTCGAAGTGTGGAGACCCAATATTGTGGACTTTGGAGTAATGTTTTGGGTACGTGTTAATGTGGAGGAAACAATTCTGGGGCGAGTGTACCAAGTTGTCTTTGCATAAAGTGAAGGGTTGCATTTGTTTCGGCTGCATCCTGAATGTAGTTTCAGATGGCGTCTAAGCTCTCTGTGAAAATAGCCCGAGATTACGTTCTGAGGAGACAATAAGAAGCGAATTTCCATGAAGCATGTAGATTATTTCTGTCAAATGAGGCAGAATGTTCGTGACATAACATTTCGACTGGTTAAGCATTAACCCTTCGTCTACCGCCCATCCCTCTGCCATTATATGGTCTTTTCGGAGCTCGAGTGAATCGTTTTACTTTCTAATGGACCTCCACATCTTGCTATCACTTGAGCGTATGACAGTCAGAAAGTTAATTTTATCTAAGAGGTCATCATTTAGAACCAAGCAGAGTAGTTGTACCTAAGGTGATTCTTTGTGAGACTTCAGATGTTGAGAGACCCTACCTCACGAACACACCACACACTGGTGGGATATATCCTGTTCTAGCAGATTATCCAAGTACCCCACACTATGAGAAGAAATCAATATTCAATATTTTTATGGTGAGTTCTAATTGGATTACTTCCTTGGTGTTATGGTCCCCAATAAAGTTCAACGAGGGTAATATAACGTTTGATAGCATCAGTCTTGATGAATCAGATAGTTTCTCGATGTTTGCATACCTTTAATTTAAGTGGACCCATTTATCTCAAGTGCTAGGGTTGCAAGAACCAGTAGCCGTCACGTTACCGCGCAATCGATTGGTAGTTGTAGTGTGAAAAACTAGGAAAGTAGACTGAAGAGTACTCAAGAGAAGATGACGGTCAGAATAAGTAAATGAATTGATGTGGGCAACTAGACGCATGAAAATGACAGCTAAACGAAGCTGACTATGAACAAAGTGGGTAGAATAGGTTGATGATAATCACAGTATTATTAAAATAGATTAGTAATTGTGGATAATTTGCGGGACAGCAATCAGATAGGAAAGTAGGTACTAAATGTCTTTCCACGCTCTGGGATAAAACTAGCCCCCATTACAAGAGTAAGATGACCAAGATTGAGTGTATGGACGATAGCCAAACCTTCTTTGAGGGTTATCTACCGAGGAAACCGTTGTCATATTAGCTGGAAGAACATTTGGGATAGAACCGGCCTATTGTGAGAAAGCGTTTGATCTTGCCAGAGTGTTTGCACTTTGATGTGGAACCTTCCGACAATTATCTTCTGGCGTGCGATAGTGGGTGTCAGGGGAAACTTTTGTGTCCCGGTGACCTGGGTTAACTAGTATGTGGTACACCACTATCAGATCTTTTCATTCTCCTAATTTTCAAGGCGAAGCCGTCTCTGTGACTCAAAGTGCTAGGAATTATTCTCGGGTCAGAGTTTTAAGCTATCTTCAGATATATTGTGGAGTTTTATGTACTTCGGCCACACCCGTAGTATAGTTTACGCTAATATCGTACCATGTGGAGACAACAGGAATTGGATATTCATGGAGGATACAAGTTGTTTGTGTCACATGAGGTTGGGTGTTCACAACTTGATGTTCAGTCAGGCATAAATTTAAACGATTGTCTTCCGCCCATTTCTCCAGCGACATGAAATTCTATAAGACTCATGTGAGTCTGTAGAATTATGGTCTACTATGATATTAGTACTGCTCTAATAATAGACCTAATCCTAAATTTGTAGATTCGTCATGATATAACTGCCTAATCTATAAGATCTTACGTGGAAGTCACACCATCGACTACGCCAACTCACTGTATCGTATCAATTACCAATACATGATGAAGAACGAGGTTAGGTTAGAGAAAGAACAATATATTTAATATGGATAGAGACCACGCCTGCATGGCCGAGCCATGCCACTCGATCAACTCCAGTCCATTCAATTCATTCTCCGCGCCTTATCCATTGTAAGGTATTTCTCCGTGTTAAATATTGAATATCTATTTTCTGAGTAGTCTTATGTTCAGCTTTGAAGATTGTGTGGTTATGGTCCAATGCCACTACACTACTCTCCCACCAGAATCAACGTGATGTTGGTTCGATACCAAATTGGATGGGATCGTCGCGCGCCGGAGGTTACCAAGGATAATAAAAATCCTCCGGGTATTGGTAAGCTGAAGGATAAATCAAAAAGAAGGCGGCAGCATCTGGTCGGGAAATACATGTAATAATTTTGAAAATATCTACCTTCATGCTTAAAACGCTTGAAATGAAAATTTGGGTGAAGATTATTTTAACTATAAAGAATGGCATTACAATAATAATAATAAAACGATGCGTGCTAATAGCCGTTGGTTAATAACTTAACGTATAGGTAGTAAGTATTTTGTGTTTAGAAGTATTAAAGTAATGAATGTTGTAGAAATATTAATATTGGTATTAGTTTTGGTTTAAATTATGAAATCAAATAACGATTATGCCGGTAAGTTGTCCATATGAGTTGAATTCCAATTGCATCTGTATTAGTAGGCTAACTGAAGGAACAAAAGTATACCGTGGAGAAGAATTCCAACTAGTGTTCCAGTTAGTTTGATACGGTTTATTAAGTTACGGGGAGATTTTCTCAACCTTATTTTTACTTGACCGTGATAGAATTTAGTAATACTACTAATACACATGAATGGTTATCAAAATAAAATTTAAATACATGAGTGATAATTATATGAATTTTGGACAGATAGCTAGGAACAAATCGTTAAACATGAGTGTATTCGTAAGAGACATGCTCTGGACTCAATGTTCTGATCTGCAGACTATTTATTTATATTTATACTTGCTGGCTGATTGGGCATACAAGTATGCAAGTATGCAGTTTATCATAAGGCGGAATACGATTTAATTGAGATATAGTGGTTATAGGTTATTAAAATCAGTTAGGCCTGTCATATTACGAAGTGATGTGGTGCTGCAAGATGTATTTAGCTAAATAAGTTTTTACAAGATGATTAGTATGAGTGATGCTCATGTTTAACAGGGAGAACATAAGTTGTAACCAGGGGGAGTACACTCCCAACTCATGTCTATGATAATGGCTTGAACCTTAGTCAGTGTTGGGGTAAATTCGACATTGATGTTTTCAGTTTGCAGGAGATTTGCTCGACTGCTTATACTGATTATTTGCATGCATGATTGTGTCGCTAAACCTCCAATTAGACTGACAAGGTTTTGAGATATTTACTGAATAAGCAACCGATAGAGAAACATACTGTAATCATCTGTAGTGAATGAAGATAAAAGAAAAACAACACTAGTGATAATTGTAAGTCAATTTGCTGACCGATTTTGTTAATAGTTTCATTAATTTTATTAATCATATTACGTGATTGTCAAGTCATGACAATGCTTTATGACGATATCCTGAAACTATTACGTTTAGCTAGTTATAGTGTTGATTGAGGATTAGTCAGTAGAAAAATAGGTATTGTTGCTTTAGTTGATTCGAAGTTATCAGAAATTTATAACGTTAAAGAATCCGAGACGCCTAATTTAACTATAAATTTTAATTCAGAAAGATTCGTTTAGTGTTAATTCTAGTAGGCTACGGAGTTTTGATTTTAAACGTTTGTTTAGCTAACAGCTACCTGAGGATTTAGTTATTTTACTAGTGCAGTTGATAGTACCTAAATTTTTAATCTTATTATCTAAACTATGTTCGCATTTTAGGCTGCTAATATGATAAACCAATCCATAAACCCAAATACGATTAGCAACAACGACTATGATGGGTTTATTGATAAATGCTAAAGGCGACTCAGATGATTCCTAAATTTAGAAGACATGAAGATATAGTGTAACGTATGTGTGGGCCAGGTTAACAAACAGGTTGTTGACGTATATGACAATTTTAAATAATGAACATGACCAGATAAATAATTTTAAAGTTAAGACTGCTTGTGAAACTTCAGGCAGGAATATGATGCGTTATAAACCTTCCATAAGAAGTTACTGCATTTAGCTTAGTGACACTTACAAATATATGGCAAAAGCAACTGAAAAAC